GTTCAGCACGAGATCCTACTCTACATCCCAGTGAAGGTGCAGAGAGAGCAGGGCGATGAGATGCCAGGGAGTGAGAGATTGGATTAGATCTCTGAACTGAATTTGAATCCTCCAAATCTTTATCTCCTGACCCAGTTGAAGCCAGCTTTCTCCTCACACAACTGCTGAAGTGGAATCCTTTCCCGCTGCTTCTTCCCAGAATAGGGATCCGGCTTCGTGTCCTTCTTGGAGAGCTCTCCTGTCCTTGGTTTCTCTAGAGGGTTCGCATAACCTCCAGAATCTCTAACTCCCTTCCGCTCCAACTCTGTTGTCCTCTGACAGAGGTGAGGGGCACTCTGAGCAGGGGGCACCCCACCCGGGCGGGCAAGGAGAGCTGGGCTGGAAGGGGAGTATTCGGCTTTGCCTCTCTTGATCCACAGCTGCTGCTCCTGGTCTCCCGACAGGTCTCACCCCCAGCTCCCTCATGCCAGCTTCCCTTGGGGGATTGGACACTTCACCCCCAGTGGCAGGTAGAGGAGAATGGACACAGGAGGACCTCAAGGCAGGCCCAGTTTCCTAACCTGGTCCATCTCTTACCAGCTGGTGACTCGGGAAATCACTTTGTCTCTCTGATCCTCATTTTTCCCATCCATAATAAAGGAATATATGCTACTGCCTCCCAGGGTTGCTAAGGCTAAGCCACACCCACCGCAGTGACTGGTGCTTAGTAATCCACGACTGCAGAAAGCAGGTCTTTAAGACTCCTCTCCCCACTTCCAGCCAGCCTGTCTCCTTTCCGAGAGATTAGATTATCTTACCCCCATGCTCCTCCGTCCTTCAGAAGCCATATTTTACTATAGATTTGGGCAACCAAGGAATGGTTGCCAAGGACCGGGCTTTCAGAAAGGCTGTCTGTCTGTTGCCTAGGAAACTGCCCCACTCCGGTTCCCTGGGGTCCTGCAAGTTGGTGGGTCCTGGCGCCACCTGCTGGATTCAGTACCACACTGCTCCTAAAGCACCCAGACCTGGGAGTCCCGCATCCCAGAGCGCGGAACACACTTTGCCCCTGCCCCTCGTCTCCAAACATCTCCACCATAAAAGATACTTCCTCTTTTTTTGTCCCTAGATTTTCCCGGAGACCACAGAAAGGAGTCAGAAGGACCATGGACCACCAGGAGGAGTGGGAGCAACATCCTTCCCCACAGAAGGATGAGGACAGAGAGCAGGACTACTGGCAGCGTGGGGTCTGAAGGAAGTCCCTCCCCCTTAACTGATTTCCTGAAGCTTGGAGTCTGCAGTGCAGACACACATTTAGCTCCCCACTAGCTCACTTTCCACAGGGAGGAAGAGGTTAAAGCGTGGGGTTACAGCAAGATTCCTTCCTACAGGACGCCCCCTCCTGGCTCCCTCCTGCCCCTGGTGGTGACCCTGGTCCTGACTCCCCTTTTCTTCTCTGAGGAGAACCTTTCCACCCACCTTGACAGCTTGTCAGATGAACCCCTTGTCACCTCAGATCATCCTGCCTCAAAGGGAACCCTGGGGAGAAGCAGGAAGCTGCTCTGCTATGGGAGACCAAGCCTCCTGGTGAGGTTACTGCCTGACCTCTCTGAGCTCAGCCTGCCCCGAAAGGTGACAAAGGTGACGGGTGAAGTCAAAAGGCAGGAGGCCATTCGGATGCCTAGAACAGAGCAGTGGGGGACATGCTCTTTTTCCTCCAGTTAGGACCACGAGTAAAGAAACAGGCACACGGAGAGCAAATGGCTCGCCTGTGTTCCAGGCGAACACTGTGTTGCACCTTGTTACCCACACGCCTCCCTGACTCTAGCTGGGCTAGGGGTGGAGCTGACTTGGGAGCCAGATACCCAGAGGTTGTCGTCACCAATGGGCTTAAGAAGGGGGTAGAACAGGAGGCTGGGGACCAAAATCTCCTGGGTCCTTGACCCTGCCCAACCTTCCTCCAGAACTGAGACGGAAGGAATGTAAAGGAAGAGCCTGGTGGAGGTGACTTCCCCACCCTGTGGGCGAGGGGCTCGTCTTGAGGACAGTAGGGGAGTAGGGTTATGAGACTGGGGCTGGCAGAGGTTGTGGGGGGCTGGGAGAGGTTGTGGGGGGCTGCATGCTGTGATTCTGGCACTACCTTCTGACCTGCTGCCCTGCCTCCAAACTCTCCTCAGCTGAAGGCAAAAGGGCTGCTGGAGGTGGGATGGAGCGAGGTGGCTGGAATTGGGGGTCTGTTTATACAGCAGGAGAGGACTCAGAGGGGGTTGGGGTTGGCGTTGGGGTCTGGCCCATATAAGCCAGAAGGAATCCTGAAGGGACAAAAACTCAGGGTACAGGTGGAGGGGAAAGCTGCCCCTCCTCTTTTTCCCCCACAGGTCCCTCTTCCTCTCCAGACCCCATTTTTTAATGCGAGGAAACAGGGTAGAGTAAGGGACTGAGAGCAGCCAAGTTGCACACAGCTGGGGTACTGACCCCTCCTCTTCTGGCTGGCTGCTCACTTCCTGACCCTCACTAGGACCCCAGCTGAGAGGCCCTTAGAGGGCTAGTCTGACCCCTCCTGAGCTACCTGGTCATGCCATCTGAGAGCCCCTGTTCTTGGCCTGTGGATGTGGAGGGAAAAGTGGGGCCAGTGTCAAGAGCCACCCATCACTCCTCCATCTGCCCTCCAGGATGTGCCAACACAACTCTGCCGCTCCATCCACCCGTGTTGCAAGCCCAGGGCACCCCAGCCAGCTGCTGCTCCTGCAAGCCAAGTGCCTGAAGCTCTACCTGGCCTGTGACTTTGGCATGCTCACAAGGAAAGCTGGCAAGGAGAACAAATTAAGCCACTTCCTGCGCCCATGCCGGAGCCAGGGGCAGGCTTCCTGGGTGCTAACATTGCTGCGGCCTGGAGCACTGGCCAGCTGCCCACTGGTGCTGCACATCTTCTCCCTGGGTGGCTACACCTTTGCGCAGATGCTGCTGCTCATGAGCCAGAACCTGGGGCGCCACAGCAGCGTGGCCTAGTGCCTGTGGGGCAGTCTGGACCATATGGCGCTGGGTGAGTGTGTCAGGGTGAGGATGAGGGGGCTTCTGGGCCACATAAACCAGGCTGAAATCCAAGTGGATGCATTCTGCTGACCATGAGGTCTGATCTGCATCTGTCCTAAATCTGGCTCTGGACTGCATCTAAATGTCTACCTGATGTGATCTTATTACCCGGAACATCTGCTTGTCTCACCTGAGCCTCTCCCACTGTGGCTGAACTTACAACCCAGAGTGAGCGTGTTTTCTGGATCCAGCTTGGCACACACTTAACGTCTAGCCTCTGTTCTTCTGGGGAAGAGGAGGCTGACTAGGACACGATAAAACTAATTTGTGGAGCACCTATAATCTTCCAAACATTCTCTCACATAATGCCCACAACAAGCCATGAAGTAGGTGCTGTGTCATCTAAATTTTTTTTCTTAGGGCACATGCTTTGGAAAAAGTCTCAGAAATCATGTAATTAGATGCACAAATTTCCTGTACAAGAGCGACTCTCAAACTTTGGTCTGTATCAGAATCACCTGGAGCTGAATGACAGTTCAGAGGCCCAGACTCCATCCTACTTTATTGAGCCTGGGCCTCTGGCTTGGTTTTAGCTCTCCAGGTAAATATGATACATATCGAAATTTGAAGATCACTGTATTTAAACTTCCCTTAGAAAGGCCAAACTAATGCTAACATACCTCAAGTTAGAGGTCACTGTTACAAGGTAACCCATTATATTGGTCCGCTCTAATTGACCAATTAGGTCTAGCTCAAAAGGAAAATTCTCCTTTTGAACCCCTCACACCCTTGATGCAGAGCGACTTCTGGCACTTCTCTAAAAACCCTTAGATCTTTTCCATTTCAATTGCTGGTCAAGCTGCCTCCTGCATGGTTTTAGTAAACCAACGGGCAAGACAGACTATGAAACGTGGCCTCATTGTGGTTCATCCTCTTTCAACTTTTACCATCCCCTGGTACCCAGGCATCCTTCTCCCATCTACCTAGGTCATCTGGACTCTTAGGTGCTCCCCAAGGTCACAGACTCCAGGGCACAAGGCCTCCAGGGACTCTGATGATCCAGTCGCTTTGCAACAACTCCTGGAGCAATTGCTGAAACACCTTGGAAGACATGCAATGGTCCTGCCGACAGTCCTGCCATCCAGCTCTTTCCTTCTCATTCCTGAGGATGCCACAAAGCTTGACCCTAGACCAAGTGGCTCTTTCAGGAAGGGCCAGGGGGAGGGCGTGCTAAGTGTGGGCTGAGGCTGCCCCTCCCTGCAGTCACGGGAATGTTTCTAGCTCCTCACTACCCACAAACAAGGGCCTCCTGCACCCTCTGCTCATTTCCGCCACCAGAGCAGAGCATTCTAGTCATCTTATTTGCTTTCAATCTTGTGTGGGGGTCTATACCTTGGAGGGACAGCTATGTGACCACTGTCCAACTACAACAGAGGCAGAGGAAAGCAATGTGAACGTCCCAGGATCCTGAACTCTAGGGATAGTCAACAGCCCACGTCAGTGCTGTCCCGCCAGGAGGGGTTTGAGGCTGGGAGGCAGGCACTGAGCTGTACATAAGTAAGGGGTGCTAACCCCCTCTACCTGGCACCCACAGGTGTGTCTCAGCTGATGAGACTGGGCCCTGCTCTAATTCCAGCTGTGCCAGGTTGTGCCATTCACCATCATGAGGCTGTGATGGGGGCCTTCTGCCAGCTGCCGGTGAGGCTCCCACTGCCAGGTGTCTACAGCCTTGATGACCCACTCTTCGATACTGCCAGCCAGCGAGCAGCAGGCGGGCATGCTGGTGTGAGTTCAGGCCTGGGAGACCTCCTGCCACGTGGCCCACCCGAGCCAGCACCTTCTGGAGTACAGCAATGTCCTCATCACCTCCCTGGGGAAGCTGGGCCTGCCCCACCCCCACGGCCCTGTTCTGATGTGGCTCTGGGCTCCAGTTCACCTCTAAGATGAAGCCCAGCAGCCCTGTGGACCAAGAACAGAGACAGGATGGCAGAGGCGTTGCAACGTCTTGATTTATTCAGATTATTTAATATACAATGATGTAATGTGACCCAAAGTGTGCAAAGTTAAAGCCTTCGACTGCAGCTGAGGAGAGGGCAGGCATGATATACCTGGGGAAGGAGTCAGGAATGATGGGCTGCCTTCTCCCCAGGGCACAGGACGGGGGAGTGGCCTGAGGAACAGGTAGCCTAGGGCCAGAGGAAGGGGGCAGAGACCTTCCTCTGGCCTCGGTCAGGAGCCCAGAAGTGCCCCATGGCTGAGGGGGCAACAGCCCCGGAAGGGGCTAGAGTCAGGGCCAGGAGAGCACCATTTCCGGGGTGGGGGTGGAGTGGGGGTGGGGAAGGAGGTGCCCTACAGAAGCCAGGAGGGGCCACCTGCCCCAGGGATGGGAGCCGGGCCAGCGCAGGCTGCAGCGAGAGAGACCTGAGGCAGGCACAGGGCCTGAGAGCCCAGGCTGGTGGGCTCAGGGGGACTGGAGAAGGGGGGGAAATGGGGGGTGCCGGCGGGGGTGCTCCCAGGGCAGCCAGGCCCCAGGAGCGGTCCTGACTCTGTGGGGGACGCCCAGCGAGGGGTGGCAGACCCTCAGGGCCTCCCCTCCTCTCTCCCTGGGAAGGAGCTGGGAACCTGTAGTGCAAATCTGTGGACCACTCAGCTATGGAGGGAGGCTGTGCCCAAAGGGGCGCCCTGGGCCACACTCCCTCCGCCGCCTCGGCCTCCGCCACCGTCCTCAGTACAGCCGCTTTTCGTAACTGTGGGGACAAGGTAAGAGGGCAGCTGAGAGTGGGTGTGTGGACCCCACTCCCTTCCCAGATCCCCCTGCCCAGGCCCCGGGGTGCCAAGTGGCCCCCAGGTGCAGGAGTGGCAGTGAACAGCAGAAGGCCCTGCCTCTCAGCCCTGGGAGGAGGAAGGGAGAAAGAGCAGGCCCTGTGCCTCTGTCCACCCTGGGCCGAGGCTCCCGGAAGAACCAGGCCAGGTCCAGAGATAGCCATGCTCCTTCTGGCCACAGCCGCAGCTGAGTGGACTGTCTGTCCTCAGTGCCGGGGTGGAGAGACAGCTCAGAAAGGCACGGCCCATCCTTGCAGAGCGAACTCAGACCAAGCTGAACCTCTGCTGCCCGTGTCTCTACCCCACCCCTGCACACGCAGCAGCCTAGGTCCCTTCTGGTCACTGTGTCCAGTCAAGGACAGGGCAGCTTCAGATCTGTGGTCAGGGACAGCTCTCTGTACTCCCGAAGGGGATGTTTCTGCTGGAGGAGGGGCCATTGCTGGCTGCCCCCACCACGATGCTAGTCCTGGGGTCCAGGTCCCATAGTTACACCCAGCGCCACCCAACACAGTGCCCCCACCCCCATCTCAGGTCCCGCCCAGACTGCCCCTGCTCTACTCTACGCTTGGCCCGGGCAGCGCAGTTACTTACACGGCAGAAAGGTATAGCTACGGGAGGATGGGGCAGAAAGAGACACAGGTTAGATGCCCGCCTATGCGTAGGGGGACAGGTCCTCTTGACCTGGGGGGGCCGCATGCCTGCTACTACTGCTGCCAACTAGCACTGCCCCCACCCATAATCGCCCCAGCACTGGCCCTGGCGTCTCTCTACCCTTCTCACTGCCAGAGGGCTCGTGCCCCCACCAGCCTACACCTGCCTGCCCAGGGCCACCACCAGCAAGAGCCCAGCACTGCCAGCCCCTGCCACCAGCCACCAAGCTTCTGAGCAAGCACGGGCCGGGGAGCCTAGGAGGGGCTAGCAGCCACATCTCCCGTGCCCTGCTCGGGAGAGATGCCCGAGGGGAGGGGAGGGGGCCTGCCTGCATAGGGGCTAAAGGCCATGGTTCAAGGGTAGGCTGGGCCCTGTAGAAGAAGGTGACGGGGTCATCCTGCAGCAGCATCCATCTCTGACGCAGATGGTCCATAAGGTCCCTGAAACCTCAGCTCAGCCTCTGAATCACAGTCCACCAGCCTGACCCAGTGACAGCCAGCTGGGGCAAAGAGGCCACCATACTTACGAGTGTAGGCCGTGGACACCACCCTCAATCTGAGCCGACATGGTCCGCTTCTCAAACTTGAGCTCTCCTGAGTACATCATAGACCTGCGGGCAGGTCAGTAGAGCAGGTTAGGGCACTGAGGGCAGAGGAGAGAGAGAAAGAGGGAGAGAAACAGAAAGGAAGCAGGGAAGGAGGAGCCAGGAGCCTCCTCGGTGCCCCCTCACCTGCTACCTCTCTAGTCCCAGCACTCACCGCAGGACAGAGAGGCTCCGGGCACCGATATCCTGGCAGCCATGCTGGATCCCCGCTATGAGGTAGGGCACAAACTTCTGAATGGAGCCTTTATCCTGAATGGAGCCCGAGACACCCTGTGCGATCTTCACCTTATCCCCCTCACTGCATGGAGGGCAAGGAGACTGAGCCAGGCAGCCCGCAGCTCAGGGAATCCTACCCCAACTCTTAAGGGTACCAACAGAGGCGGTATCACCCAGAAGGACACCCAAAGCAGCCACTCCCTGGGCTACAGCATAAAAAAGCATGGATCCCAAATCCAGTGGCCCCGGCACTGTCCCAGGTCTACTGTTACTGGTGCCCTGTGCCTCGTTTTCCAGAACTATCACATGGAGATTGAGCGCCATCTTGGGAAGTCTAAGGCACGTATGGACCCTGGAAGGGCTGTGGCGGATCTGCCTGGGGCTGGGGCTCAGGGTCAGGGCACCTGAAATATCGTTTCTGGCTGCTGCTGCTCTTCTCCATGGCATCCAAGGAGCCCATGCCCCGGTACTTCTTGAGCCTCACCCCATCCGAGAAGAAGTACTCGCCAGGGGCCTCCGTGGTGGCAGCGAGCAGGGAGCCCATCATCACTGTGGTGGTAGGGAGGCGGTCAGTGCCTCCAGCCTATAGCCCTCCTACTGCCTTCACCCAGCTCCCAGCCCCTAAACCCCAGCCTGCCCAAGCCCCCTCACCTGTGGAGGCTCCAAGGGCCAGGGCCTTGACCACGTGCCCCACGGTCTGGATGCCGCCATCGGCTATGACAGGCACCCCAAAGCGCCGGGCATACTCGGCCACCTTGTACACAGCAGTGCCCTGGGGCCGACCACAGGCCATCACTGCAGGAGGGGACACAAGACAGAAGTGTCAACAGCAACACAGGGGCCAGGGACAGGCCCCTTTCTCCTCGTGTCCAACCTCCACTCAGGAGAGGGGACAGGGCTGAATAATGTTTCTGAGGCACAAAGTAGGTGGCAAATAACACTAGGCTGAATGTCACTTCAGGGACCCAGGTCACTTGACAGCACTATGGGGGATTCTGATGGGTGAAGGGCAATACAGGCCTTCGAAGTATTATACTTCCCAAACCAGAGCTCTTAGGCCTAGTGGTCCCCAGCCTCACCTCTCCCCAAACACAAGTTCCCCTTCCAGGCTTTCATATGCAAGCCTGTTACTAGAGTTAGGGACTCATGGCCTCCTTTGGGATGTTGGTTTGCATTTCTTTAATTGTCCAAGGTCTTTAAGTGTTTGGTTTTAAGTTTTTAAGTGGGAATTCTAAG